TAAAATCTTTTTAAAAGTTTTATTAAATTAAAAATAGAATTATCATATTGTGAGATATAGAAAATATATCCTGATCTCTGTCTGTGGTTTCTGGCACAGAGCTCCTAAAACCCTTGTAATTTTCTGGGTGATAGAAGTGTCTTTTGTTTTATTGAGGCAACTGTGGGTGGGCTCCTGGAAGAGGGCTGGTCACCACAAAGACCAAGTCATGGTTAGAAGGTTGGAATTTTCAGCTCCATTCCTCATTTTCCAGAGAAGGGAGAGGGGATGGAAATGGAGGTTATAATCGATCATGCCTATGTAAGGAAGCCTCCAAAAAATCCCAATAATACAGAGTTCAGGAAGCTTACAGGTGTGTGAACACATCTACACCAGAAGGGTGATGCACCCACCTCCATGGGACCAGAAGCTCCTGTAGTTGTGACAATCCCAGACTTAGCCCTGTGTATCTCTTCATCTGGCTGTTTACCTGTATCCTTTATTACAACCTTTAGTAAACTGGTAAATGTAAGTGTCTCCCTGAGTTCTGGGAGCCACTCCAGCAAATTAATTAAACCTGAGAAGGGAGTCATGGGAACTTCCAATTTGTAGCCAAACGGAACAGAAGTTGTAGGTGACCTAGGGACCTACTACTTTCCATTGGCATCTCCAGGTAAATTGTGTCAGAATTGAGTTAAATTATAAGACATCCAGCTGGCGTCAGAGAATTGCTTCATGTCGGGGAGAACCTCCAAACATTTAGTGACGAGTGTCAGAAGTGTTCTGTGCAAGAGTACACACAGGTGAAAGAAAGACAGGAAAGAGAAATGTTTTTCATGCCTGTGCTTTTGGTGTCATAGTCTTTCCCTACACAGGAGGGAAAACTAGAGTTTCTCCTTTACACATATGATGCAGCAATCTCATTTTGGGTAGAGGGGATATCCAAAGGAATTCAAAGCAGGATCTTGAAAACGTATTTGCACACCCATGTTCACTGTAGCATTATTCACAAGAACCAACCCAAATTGTCCATCAGTGAATGAATGGATAAACAGATAAACAAAATGTGGCATATACATACAATGGAACATTAACCAGCTTTTTAAAAAACAGAAATCCTGTCACATGCTACAATATGAATCAACTTTGAGGAGTGAAATAAACTAGTCATGAAAAGGCAAATAATGTATGATTCCACTTACATGAAGTTTCAAAGTAGTCAAAATAGTAACAGAAGGTATTTAGAATGGTGGTTGCCAGGGACTTGGGGGAGGATAAATGGGGAGCTGGTATATGATCTCACTTATATGTGGAATCTATAAATGCTGAACTTATGGAAACAAAGGATAGAATGGTGGTTGCCAGAGGCTGGGTTGTGGGGAAATGGGAGGTGTTAGTCAAGGATACAAACTTCAGCTATAAGATAAATTAAGTTCTGAGGACCTAATGTATAGCATGGTGACTATAATTGACAATACTGTATTACATATTTGAGAGATGCTAAGAGAATAGATCATAAATACTCCCACTACACACAAAGAAAAGGTAATTATGGAGGCGATGGATGTGTTAACCTTTGTATGATAATCATTTAGCAATATATACATGTATCAAATCTTCACAATGTACACTGTAAACTTACACAATGTTATGTTTTGATTACATCTCAATATAGCTTGGGGGAAAAATATTGTGTAGTCCATTACCATGAACCAGAATAAAGTGTTGATGGATATATATGATAAGAAAGAAGAGAAAAGAAAGGGAAAGGGAAAGGGAAGGGAAGGGAAGGGAAGGGAAGGGAAGGAGGAAAGAAAAAAAGATGGTGTTCAGTGGGTATAGAAATTCAATTTTGCAGGATAAAAAGGTTCTAGAGATCATTTGCACTATGTTGAGTATATTTAACTCTATTAAACCATACACTTAAATTAAAAACGGTTAAGCTGATAAATTTACATCATATGTTTTTACCACAATTTAAAAAAAAAATTTAAAGAAATCAAGCTATCTATATAAAAAAGCATAACATGTAACATATGTTAAGCAGAAGCATAACATACTCATCTTATTTTCTAGGAGCTTCAATAATATAACATTTATTTTTTTTATGTAGCTTCATACTCTCAGAAAAGTATAATTACAAGCTGAGGGTCTTATCTCATGTTTCTTTATCTCTTTGCAGGAACAAATAGTACTGACAATTCCCACGTTTGAAAAAACCTCACTTGCTGACTTCTCTCACATAATTTTACTTGTTCTCCTACCTCTCTGCTACTTCCCTTTTAGCCAGATTGGGTTGTTTTCCATCACCTGTTCCTTAAATGTTGTATCTTCTACAATCTGTCCTTAGTCCTCTTCCCTCTCCAACCCACCCTGGATAGCTCATGGCTTCAGTTATTATGTCAGGGCAAATGACTTACAAATCATCACTAGTTCCGACTTCTTTCCCAAATTTGAATAAAATATTTCCAAAAACCTACGTATATATGAGGTCTGTCCAGAAAAAGTCAAAGCATTGTTAATATAACAAGAATGATTTGCACAACACTGCTGTAACCTGGTAGCCAAGAAGAGTGGACTGGAACGCACATGTGTGAACAATGGTGACTTTACTGTACTAGTCAGTGTGGACAATAGATGTTGTTGAGTGAGCATGTGCACTGTGAGGCTATCCCATTCAAAATGACTGAGCAAGTAGAGCAACAAATCTGCATCGAATTTTGCATTAAATTTGAACATTGTTCCACAGAAACTATTCCCATGATTCAGAAAGCCGCAGCTGTGGACAACTGGTAATTGCCAGCTTTATCATGACAACACACCCACTCATGCATCACATCTCATGCAGAGTTTTGTGGCAAAACATCAAATCACCCAGGTGATTCAGACCCTCTATCACTCAGATTTGGCACCCTGCAACTTCTGCCTTTTCCCAATATTAAAACTACCTTTGAAAGGGAAGTTTTCAGACCATGATGAAATTCAGTAAAATATGACAGGGCAGCTGATGATGCTTGGGAGAACTGTGTGAGGTCCCAAGGTGCCTACTTTGAAGGGGACAGAGGTATTATTGTCCTATGTGCAATGTTTCTTGTATCTTGTATCCTCTCCAATAAATGTTTTTATTTTTCTTATTACATGGCTGGAAACTTTCTGGACAGACCTTGTAAATGTATACATAGCTATTATACAGGTAACTATATAGAATTAGTTTTCAAGTCTGGTGCATTCTATCTCTGTACAATCTCTCAAATCTGTACCTTGCTCTGCCTTTCAAGTAGATAAGATCATTATCTAGTTCATTCATTCATCCAACACTTATTCAGATCTAATTACCTAATACTGTACTAGCAACCAGAAATATAAAATTTCATAGCATAACCTCTGCTCTGAAAAAGGGCATTTTAATTTACATGTCCTAAGTTATCACAGTTGCTAGCATCATCACAAACCACTGCAGAGGAAGAGATTATACATCTGCTTGCTCTGGCCAAAAAAATCTGAGTGCACCTGATATGAGCCATTTCCAAATAGAGGTTTATCCTAATTTAAATATATTTAATAGACAAATTCCCTGGTATGATTACTTAAGGGCCTAAAAATGTAGCTCCTACTTACTTTTTCAATTTCATCAACCAAACATACCCACTAAGCTAGTGAACCCAAATTTATTCCACAGCTGTTGTTAAGTGCTATTCAAGGAAAAACAGGTTTTGGTCAAATGAGATTGGAAAATGCTCTTTGAAACAAAGTTAAACAGACCACTTTACTGCAGGGTTTCTTAAAATCTTTAATATGTTAATGTGCTTTGCAAAATTTCTAGAGGAGAATTTATTACACAGTCTTTCCCAACCTCCCTGTTCTAATCACATCCCCTCAAAACTGTTGGTATATGTAGTCAGTTTAGTTCCTACCACTGCTTCTTTGTTCATACTCCACCTTCCACCTCAAGTCCACACATCTAAGACATGCCCACCTTTCAAATGCCCTCATTCTAAAAAGTTTTCTAGTTTTTCAACTTATAAAGCAGTCACTATCCTTTTGAGTTTTACTAGTCTCACTCAAATTCAGCCTTCATATTGCTTCTAGTAATCTTTCTAAATGCAAACCTAATATGGGTTGGCCAAAAAGTTCATTTGTTTTTTTTCCATGAGATGGCTCTAGTACCACTTAGTTCTCTTTAACTTCATTTGAAACAATTTTGTTAGATTGCATTATGACATCTGCCACAACAGCTTGCATTTTTAAAAAAGGCAGAAAACAATTAAATTAAAATTAAAAAACATTGAAATTAACGAATTTTTGTGAAGCCATTTTAATATTGAAGATAGAGGAAGATAAGCAACATTTTTGGTATATTATACTTTATTATTTCAAGAGAAGTAAAAACACAACTAAAACGCATCTTGCTGGACGATGATCCACAGGGTCAGGCAGACCAATTTAAGTTGATAGTGATCAAATTGAGACACTAATTAAGAATGCTCCATGTTATTCCATGAAGGAGATAGCCAACATACTAAAAATATCCAAATCAATAAAGTTGTTAGTGAAAATGAAAAATGTGTCATTTACAGAATAAAGTAAATGAACTTTTTGGCCAACCCAATAATTTACATACCTTTCCTTTGTGCTTCCATAATACTCTAGCATAGCAGTTCTCAACCAGGGTTGATTTTGTGCCCCAGGTGACATATGACAATGTCTACAGACTTGTTTTTAATTGTCACATTTTAGAATAGACCGTTCTTTGTTGTGGGGAGCTGTCCGGTACATTGTAGGATGTTTATGACCATCTGCGGCCTCTACTCACTAGATGCCAGTAGCACCACCACCACTTCCCAAGTCCTGCCCACTGTGACAATAAAAAATGTCTCCAGATTGGCAAATGTTCCCTAGGAAGGAAATCACCACTGATCTAGAGCATGCTTGTAAAATAAATTAATAAATTAATGAATTTTTATTATAATATTAAAACTAAAAAAGTCTATCAAAGGACTAAGAAAGAAAGAATAATTTACCTTTTCAGCTAATTCTTCTGCTGTTATCTTTGGGTCATATGGAATAGGATCACCTAAATAGGTGCGTAACTTCACTGGAAAACCTCCATACATTGGAGCAAATGGATAGCGGAATTTTTCATAAAGCCACCTAAATAACCCTGTTTTAAGGTAAACAAAATCATTTAATTGGTTACATATTCTGAGCATGTAACTACAAACTCTCAAATTAATTATGTAAGGTTTAGAGGAAGGTGACAAACAATATCACCTCTTGGTAATTTTTTTTTTAATTGAGCTTTTCCTCAGTTGTAATAAATGTGCAAGAAATTAACAGAAGAAACTGGAGAGTAATAAGGGAGCTTATGGGTACTCTGTACTTTCTGTTCAATTTTTCTGTAAACCTAAAAATTTTTTTAAAAAAGGCCTATTGATTTTCTTAAATTAGCTTTTAAAAGTATGAGAATTTTAAAGGCAAAGTACTAAATTGCAAAACAAAGTATAAAAGCCTGAAACCAAAAACTAGAAGCTAAAAAGTCTAGAGACTCAAAAATACATAATTTAGCGCTGGCTAGGTGGCTCAGTTAATTAGAAGTTGGTTGGAACGTCGCCCCATACACCAAAAGGTTGCAGGTTCAATTCCTCATCAGGGCACACTGGTTGTAGGTTCAGTTCCCAGGTGGGGTATAAACAGGAGGCAATCAATCTATCTTTCTCTCACATAAACATTTTTTTTCTCTCTCTCTCCCTCCCCTTTCCGCTCTCTCTAAAATTAATAAACATATCCTCAGGTGAGGATTTAAAAAAATCTATTTTTAGAAAAAACTAAGCATGATTTTAAAAAATATATATGATTTACATGAATAAAAGAAGAAAAAATGAAGCATAAAATAAATTCACAAACATGAGACCAAAATGCATCAATAAACTACATAAAAACTAAAATATTACTGTCAATTAGGGCAAACATGACAAAGCAAAAAATTACTAATGCGAATGATAATGTATATACAATTTAGCAACATTAAAAGTAGTAATAATACAAAATAAACCGATAGACTTTAAGACTAAGTTAAAAAAATAAATCTAAAAAAGGCAAGCAACATGGAATACATAATCATTAAGTGTACTGGAAATTTAAATCACTGTTTACACATGGAAACACCGTAAGACCCAAAGTGAAACTAAAAAAAAAGTCACTAGGCACTACTTTTTGATATTCAACTACCAAAGCAAAAAAAAAAAAATTAAAGCAGTATAAAAGGATTTTGAGATCACTTTGCAATTAAAGAAGCAAAATTAGGAATAATTTCTGGTATGCAACTTAAATTCTGAAGAATGATCTGTGAGAAATTAAAATTAATAATAAATAACTTTTGTTAAACAACAAAAGTTAAATGTTTCATCAACCTGCCTTTCCAATTTAAATTTGAAAAGAAAAAAGAAAAAAAATAAGACCTATAAAACATAACAGAATATCAACAATAAAGCAATGTTGGACATAAAAGAAATAACAGAAGTTTAAAGTTCTTCAGGAAGGGATTTGTATAAGGATATAAACACTAATAATATAATGTTAGGGATATAAAATACAGTCAACCAAATGTCATGTATAAAGCTTACAGTAGAAAAATAATAGTATGAAAATTTCAAAAGAGAAACAAAACAGACATATTGCAAAGGAAAAGCACTCCTATAACTAGATTCAGAGCTTATTTTGTTACCACTCAATTAAAGGTAGGCAAAAAGAAGCAAGTGTATCATGGTTCAAAATATTTTAAAACAAACAAATAAAAAAGTAACAAATCAAGAAGTAAAACCAAGGCAAATTATATTTCCTTAGGTTATTCACCTTAATTCAGTATCATATTATCATCCATTGTTAAAGCTGCAACTTCTTCAGGGGTGAGTTAGGAAGACGGTCTATTATATGTAAATCTGTCCTAACCTTCAACAACATGTTTTAATACAAGTAAATTATATAATGCTCTGTAATTTTAAAAAGTCCATGAAAAACAAGCTTCAGTATGTTTAAGAGACAAAAACCCAACATCTAAGGACTGATATTTCTTACAACCAGTTATTTAGCCTTTAAATAGGAAAACATCTACAATTTGAACACTTCATGGGTTCAAAAGCCCAAATATTTAAAATATTACATATGAAAACTTAAAAAAGAAACCAAAAGATAAAATAAAATATTATATTATAAATATTACATTATCATTAAAAAAACCATATGAACTAGAACTTACTTGTTCCTCCAAGTGATCTAAATCCTTCTCGTATATTTTGTGTAAACATAGGAATAATGGGCTAAAGAGAAAATTTGAATTAAAAAGTAAATATATTAATCCATTCAATGTCTCTATTGAGTCACTAATGTAAACTTTTGAGGGACTGTTTAAGATTATGAAAATAAAGTACTTATAAAATAAAGGCATACTTTTATCACTAGGTTGCTTAGACTAAACTTGGTCATTTGTAGAAATAAATTAATAAAATAAATGTGGAAAGTTAAATTGGTTTTAGTGGGTTTCTGAATGCTATGCTCACTGAAGAAAAAGAAGACAAAGAGTCTCGCTACTAGGAAATTTATATAAATTTAAATGACAAGTTTTGGCCACATGCTGTCACAAAATTAGTAAAAATCATTTATTTTTGTGAGCTTATTAAATCTAAAAATGTTCAACATCAATGAAAAGTAAGGATAAGACTCATCACACAAAAAGGAAAACCATATATATAAAAAATTCTTCACATCATTAATTTTGGAGGACTTCTTCTTACAAGTTTATGGTTCTCATTTTTCTATGAATGTCAATAATTAAGTATAATTTTAAAAATGAAGACCTTAACCAAATGCCATAAAACAATGGGTGAAGGAGCAAAGGATCATGTGAGGAGGTTATGCCACAGTAAAACTGACACAGATGAAAAACTGAACACTTTAAAGCATACACAAAATATACCAAGTAAAATGGTTTTAGAATAGAAAAAACTGTGGAGACAGCAAGTGTCACTTGACTTACAATCCATATTTGCTTAATACAGAAATACTTGCCTTGGTGAGCAGGGTTTGAGATAATGTAAATCAGCTGACATTTAAAAAGCCATTCCTATTCAGCTTTGGAAAAGAGTAAAATATGGTGGACTGAAGGAAAGAGACTACAGGTATAGCTTTTTTCATAAAATTATTATCTCACATATAACTAACTGACCTTTTATTTATTGTATCTTTCCCCTCCCCAAGAAGGACTCTGAATAGCACAGACATTGTTCACTGCTGTATCCCATCATCTAGAACACAGGTGGCAAACACAAGGCCCACAGGCGGAAGCCGGTCCTCCACCTTATTTTATGGGCCCAGGACCTTGTTTCTACCTGGAACAGAGTGGGTGCTAAAAGGAAGTGTGATGGATGAATTAAGGAAGGAATAGATAAACAGAACAGAGAGACAATGCTTTCAACATATTAGTCCATTCTCTGAATACAAAAGGTCAGATATAGGCAGCAGTAAATTGAACACCAGTTAGGAAAAAGAAGTCATGTAAAGAAAAGTCAGTATGTGCATAACAGGGTGCAGCCAAGGGGGAGGGCCCCAAAAAGGGATTTGTAATGAGGTCCAAAACTCAAAGTATCCAGAAAATATTAGAAAAATATATATAGGATGTCCTCACCCCCACCAGGCCGAGCTGGGGGATGGGACACAGGGAGCAGCACCATTCAGAGCTGTTTTCAACAGCTTTGCAGCTAACCTCTGGCATGGTCACTTAACATATCTATAACCTTTAACTGGTTTCATAGACATGTTAAATAGCTGTGGCTGTGCTTTGAGCCAGGGGAATGGAAGTGACTTCCACCCAAGATGTAATTGGGAGTATCCTAAAGGACTTTAATATTTTAATGAAGACAGTAAGTCACCACTCTAAGTCTGTATAGCTTTAAATAAATATTTCCTTTCCTTTCCACAAATCCCTGGCATTGAAAGAAATCTTTCCTCTGGTGGCAGGCATAAAGAACCCAGTGGGGGGTCCTTTTGGTAATAGTATATCTTACACCCCCCCCTTGGGTCTGTTCTGTAACATGTGAAGGGGAACTCTTTTGCACTGTTGGTGGGAATGCAGACTGGTGTAGCCACTATGGAAAGAAGTATAGAGATACCTCAAAAAATTAAAAATGGATCTGCCTTTTGACCCAGCTATCTCACTTCTGGCAATATATGCAAAGGAACCCAAAACACTAATTCGAAAGAACATAAGCAACCCTATGTTCATTGCAGCATTATTTACAGTCACCAAGATATCAAAACAGCCCACGTGCCGATCATTAGATGAGTGGATAAAACAACTACGGGCCATTTGCACAACAGAATACTAGTCAACTGTCGGAAAGAAGAAAATTTTATCCTTTGCAACAGTATGGATAGACCCAGAGAACGTTATGCTAAGTGAAATAAGCCAGTCAGAGAAAGACAATACCATATGATTTCACTCATATGTGGAATCTAATGAACAAACTGAACTAACAAGGAAAATGGGGACAGACTCATAGATAGAGAGCAGGATGACAGCTAAGGGTGGTGGGAGATTAGGGGATGAAGGGACTAAGCAAAAAGTAAAAAGGACTCATGGACAAAAATGTGGTGAATGCTAGGGGGAGAGGAGTATAAGGAAACAAAAATGGAAAAAAATGTAATGAAGATTAAATTAAATAAAAGAAAAGAAGTCAGATGAAGGATTTAAAATTCAATGGAGTTAATTCACAAAGCAAGCATACGAGACACAGTACACTGATGCTGTTGTAAAATATGCACATTTTGATCTAGAAAACCACCAATAGTTTCATAAAATAAAATGATAGCTGAAATCTTAATGTCTTAAGTAGTTATGATGTTAGAATTAAGAACTTAAAATGCCTAAGGAACAGCAACCTTTCAGCTCATACATATGCCATTTTGCCTTTTCTAACCAGTTCTGCTAGATTTATGTCTCCTGACTGACATGAACCCCAAAGTTTGTACTGAGGTATGCACTGTTTAAACACTCTTCAAGTAACATATCATCCTTTAAATAGCTAACTTTCCAGAAGCTGGACATTTCTAGAACCTACTGAACAGGAGAAAGTTTACTCTGGCAGGCTCAGTATTCCAGGCTACATTTTGGGCACATTTTCCCTAAATTTGCATTGAAGCTACAGCCTTAAAACTACAAATGTTACCTTGTTACAACTTGATCTTATAGTACAATTATTCATTTCTTTCCTTGTGCATACTTTGTATACAAGGTAGTTGCATAAGTAACCTAGCACCACATTCTGATTACACATATACATGTGTCTCTTTATGGATGCATATGTGTAACAGGGTGCAGCCAAGAGGGGGACCCCAAATAGGGATTTGGAATGGGGTCCAGAACTCAGAGTGTCCAGGAAATATTAGGATGTCCTCACTGCACACCCCCTCCAGGTGTGGGCTGGGGGAAGGGACAAATGGAGCAGGGCCATTGAGAGCTGTTTTGCATAGCAACAGCTTTGCAGCTAACCTCTGGCATGGTCATTTAACATATCTATAACCTTTAACTGGTTACATAGATATGTTAAATAGCTGCGGCCATGCTCTGAGTCAGGGAAATGGAAGTAACCTCCCCAACAAGACATAACTGGGGGGCAGGTCCTCGAGTTACAGCACCTGCATGGGAGCTTAGAGAAGACTGGCTCCATGACATGGGATCACACCTGCCCAGACTCACAGTGGCAGCCCAGTAAAGCTGGAAGGATATGAGAGGGCTAGCAAGTGTAGCTGATGGTGGGAGGAGTCGCAAATGGGGCTGCAGAGGAAGACTGGCACAGAGATTTAAACCCAGATACGGCAGCCATTAAGGAGAGAACCACTCGGTCTTTATTAGAATGGGAACTCCCACAGCCCTGCAAGAGAGAATCACCATGCAGCTTTAGCAGAGAACCACCACTCAGCTTTGGCATAGTGGTGACCTCCCCTCCTTAGAGCCATTGAGGAGGGAGAACTACACAGTTTTGGCTGAGTGGAGACTCCTGCAGCCATAGTGCAGAGAGGACCACATGGCTGTGACAATAGAAAGGAGAGCCACTCCGCTTTGCCAGAGTGGGCCCCCGCCCCCGCAGCTTTAGAAGGGGGAACCACCACCCGGCTTTAGCAGAGATCCCAGCAACACAGCCGATGATGCCGGGAACCGATGGAGGCCTACCAGCCGAGATGGATTACTGGGAAGAATGGGGGGCTGCCCGAGCCACAGGCTTCTATTTCTTTCCCTGAGATACAGTACCCCAGCCTGGGCAGAGGGGGGGAAGGAAGGACTGTGTGTGTTTGTGGGTGTTTTAAGGGACTTTAGGATTCTGATGAAGACATTAGGTATTACTTTAAGTCTATATAGCATTAAATAAACATTTCCTTTCCTTTTCACGAATCTCTGGCATTAAGAGATGTCTTTCCTTTGGCAGCGGACATAATGAACCCGGGGGGATTCCTTTCAGGTATTAGTACATTGCCTTGGTCCCCCCTCTCCTCCTGCTCGGTAACATGCATACAAGTACAAAAGAGAACGTGTATTTTGTTAAAATTGTTCTTGGAGAACCAGTCTCATGGTCTTGGAGTCTTAACTTTTCCACTAAAAAAAATGGGAACCACTGGACAAGTTACTTACCATGTCTAACTCTCAGTTTCTTCATGTTAATATGGGGCTACTAATTACCATATCTCAAAGGGTTTTTTTAATAGGTTGAAATAATACACATATAAAAATTTTACTCAGTTTATTTCCTTTTATATCTGTTATTCGTTTTCCAACTAAACAGGCTAATATTTTTCCAACTTATTTGAATATGAAATTACCTAAAAATTCTTATTCAAGTCATAATTCTGAGGACTTCACAAAGTAAGAGTGATTTATACTATTAGTTGTAACTTTCAAATGAACCTTAAGTATTTTCTAAATAATGTTTTGTGAGCTTACATTGACGTTCTAAGCTTTTTCGCTTTAATTTCTGTCATTAAGTCACAATTTAAATATAGTTAATACTGCAATAATAGTCTTAAATTTTTGGCCAAAGTTTATGATAATTCTGTGAGGCCTATGGAGGGGTTTTCCAGGCAGGATACTTATGACACTGACAACTATACCCATGTATAACTGAAAGTTCTCTTTCCCTCAAGTATGGGGAAGGCCCCTCTAATCTCAAGGTCAGCAGACTCACTGTGAAATGCAGTCAGTGATGGCAACAGCACTGGTTGCCTGCAGTCCTGAGCTGCGTGTTCTGCTCTGCTTCTGCCTTGCTGTGTGACCTGATCCCTCCATCCCTTCATCTCTCTGTGCCTGTGTTTCCTCATCTGCAACATTGGAATAATTACATGTCACCTACTTACTATACAGGAGTACCAACATAAAGCCTTTAAAAGCACTACAAAAGGTTGGGGTGGTACAAGACTTAACAAACTTACAATGCTCTTTTGTAAATCAGCAGTGTTAAAGATTTTTGTTTATAAACTTGTAAAGGGCTGTTTCTTAAATTTTCTCAAGGTTCATACAAAAACTTTAAATTATCTATATTATCTTAATTATCTAGAAATGCTTTCGAGGATTGGAATGAGAGTTTCTTTCTCTACATAATTTCTTTCTTTCAGGCCTTCTTCCAGGCAATGTTCTTTCAAACTGTTAACAATGAGAAATTAGAATCTCATGATCAATTTATGTAATTCCAAACCTATTGACATTTTTCTCTTAAACCTTAGAAGAAATAATTCTTGCAAAATATAAACATGAAAATTGAACTATTTATGAATAGAGTTTAGCTTTTATCATTGCTCAATTTCATATTATATATCCTTCATTTTTGTATAGCTGTGTATATATCCTTCTGTATTCTATATTACTTATATAGCCTAAGGTTTTGTTTTCTACATTAGTACTTATGAATTTTTGGAAAATAAAATGTGCTATTAATTAATTTTCTATATCACTGATACTATTAATATAAAATTGAATTCAGAAGGCTCCTTTCTAGAAAGCTGTACTTAAACAACAATAAAAAAAATGTTAAAAAAAGGTTCCTTTCTGGTATTGTTTAACATTGTATTAAAAAATCAATTTAATTTAACAAATACAAATAGCCTACTCGGTGCCAGTCATTATACTAGGGACTTAGAATATAAAAAGATGGCCTGTCGTCAGAAAGTTTATAATCTACTACAGGACAGTAGTACTTAAGTTTTTATGTTTTGTATTATTAAACACTTGGGCAAGTCCATTAACTCTTATACTAGGACCACGTTATTAAAGTACTATACAGCAATAACTTACTTCTAGGAGCTACATATACATGTGTACAGGAGAAAATAGAGCTGAATATATTTGAATTTACTGCAATTCTGCAATTAAAAATGTAGAGGAAACTTTCACTCTTCTTCAAATATTGATCTTGGGTTAGAATAAATTATCCATTATGTTTTACTTTTTTAATCAACAATCTGTATTTGCAAGATGAATGGGCAAGCTAAGAGTGCGGACTGATCTCTTCATGTGGCAGCAGTGGGTACAAAAAACTGAAATGTGAATGTACTGGCAGCTGTCTCTAACTAACTGACTAGCCTAGAAAAAGAACACACCTTGTCAAAGGTACTATGATTTCTTTTTCTAATAGGCAATCTAAAATTAAAATAGCCTGGCTGGCGTAGCTCAGTGGATTGAGCACAGGCTGAGAACCAAAGTGTTGCAGGTTCGATTCCCAGTCAGGGCACATGCCTGGGTTGCAGGCCATGACCCCCAGCAACCACACATTGATGTTTCTCTCTCTCTGTCTCTCTCTCTACCTCCCTTCCCTCTCTAAAAATAAATAAATAAATTTTAAAAAATAATAATAAAAAATTAAATTAAAATAAACAGAAAACAAAGAAGAAACATTTCATAAGTAATAAATGTTTCCTACAATAAAGTACAACATGGAGACCAAAAAGCTGAGAAATACTTTCCAAAGCAAAGGAAATGGATAAAATGGCATTCACATTTTTCAGTCTACCAAGTAGAATAATTACAGTGAATCCCAGAGGAACATTTAATTTTACTGACAAATTCATTTGTAAAGTCTTTTTTAAAAATCTAAATTACACTAGTACCTATTTCTCAGTTTTATTCATACTATTAGATAGTTTTATGACATTTTTATCACATTTCCTGACACAAAATGATGAGTCGCATATTATATGACTCAAAATGATGAATCACATATTATTTGAGTCTTATTGTTATATGAATTAGTCACAGAAAAAAGAAATGCAATGAGACCAACCAATAACCATCACTGAAATATGCCAACTCAATCACACAAAAGGTTTAAAATACATAGAAGTGGACTGCTTATTATTTATGAAAATAATTATATCTAAAGGAGTCCAAAGAATTTTACAAATCTGATTAAGACACTGCATTTTGAAATGTAAGATAAAATTTTGCTGGATATTTGCCATCCACAGGAACATTTCCCTACAGTTAACTCTCTTTTTAAGAGTTGTCACCCTGGCTGGCATAGCTCAGTGGATTGAGCTCGGGCTGCAAACCAAAGCATTGCAGGATCGATTCCCAGTCAGGGCACATGACTGGGTTGCAGGCCATGGCCCCCAGCAACCACACATTGATGTTTCTCTCTCTCTCTTTCTCCCTCCCTTCCTTCTCTAAAAATAAATAAATAAATAAATAAATAAATAAATAAATAAATAAAATCTTTTAAAAAAAAGTTGTCTACACTGATTTTTAAAGTACTTCAATGACATTATATAATTTCTTACATATTTTGGCTTGCTAATTTAAGCATTTAATATAAATTCCACCTAGCTTTACTTTAGTAATTAGTTTTATACAACTCACCACTTTTGCATCAATTGCAACCTGAGCGAAGCCTTTACGATTACCCCATATGATGTTGTAGGTTTCATCACTAAGTAGGGCTTCTCGAACTCCACCTGGTGAAATAGCTAACAAGTGACCACTCCTCAGAATTTCAACACATTTTTCTCTTGGTCCATGTAGAGCACAAAATACATCAAGCAATAAACTAAACCCTGTAAGAAACATTAGCATGAATATACATCGTTAGTACTTCTTGTCCAATTCTTCAAGAACAAACATCTCCACAACCTACAAAATTTACTGTGTATACTTAAATCAGTAAATTCTTTTTTACTTTTTAAAAAGCAACAAGAACTCTCAGGTTAAAATAAGATTAAAACTGCTGGTAAATTAATAGCTATGTCTTATTGATCACCAACTATTGATCACCTTCTTAGTGATCATCTACTACTCTGGCCAATTCACATATTCAATTCTTAATTAAAACTCACAAAAATCTTGGAAAACAAGGATTCTTATCCTAATTTTACAGATGAGGAAAAGTCGGCTCAGAGAGTAAGTAGCTTGCTTAAAGTCATACACCAAGCAAATGGCAAGGCAGAGATTCTGGTCCAGATGTCAGCTAACTCAAAGTTCCCCCTGCTGCATCTCATGGCTAAACACTGTCTATAGTATTTATTAGAGCAATCAGAAATGATATCTCATCAGTAATTACAAATCCAATCTTCATTAACCCTATAAGAAAGAAAACCACTTAAGAGAGTGTGAATTTGACTATGCTTAGCCCTACCAAAATTGCCAAGCCATAATCAAAACTACTGAAATTGTTAGATGGTAATTCCACAATTACATTTTTATGCCAATAATAATAGCAAAATCATTAAGAGTTTCCAATAAACTGAATGTTTGACTCAGGAATAGCTAATTCCACATATTAATATTATGAAAATTTTTAAATTACAACTATTTATGGATTAAAAAAAATAATCCTGTCAAGCGATTAAGTATTTTAAGCAAATCCTAAACTGGAACTTTAGATGACTGATGGTAGTATACATTATTCCTCAAGACTGTGAAAGGGAAATGGGTAGTGAAAGCTGTGCAGACTGGCCAAACTTCTCCTAAGTTTAAGGACCTGAAGCAAGATTATAAATATTATTAAAATTGAAATAATCTTTACCCTATATTAAATGAAAAGTCCACTGACTTAATAAGAGGCATTTCCATAATAAATGAATGAACAGGGGAGGTTTCCTGAATAAAAGGTAAAAAATTTTTAAAAGCCAAAGGCTAAATAAAAAAATTCATAATCTATTATGTATAAAAAGAAAAAAATGGAAGCACCCTAATGTTCCATAAGATAAAACTAGATAAGTAAATATTTTAGTCACCCATGAAAACTATTGTTTTTAAAAAAAATTTTTTTAAATATTCTTCGTAAAACATGGTAAAATGGTAATGCTAACGTTAATTTTTTTTAAAAAGAAGAAAATAGTTTGCATAATATGTGCATATGTGACTACAAATAAAATAAAGTAAATCAAAAGGCTAATTGGTTATGTTAGGATGGCAAGATTATACTGATGTTCTTTTATTCTCTGATTTTAAAATTTTATTATACAGTGATCATTATTACTTTCTAAAGAAAAACCTTTTATAGCCTATTTAGTTTATATACAAAGTACAAATGACTTTTTAGTGACATAAGGACACCCAAAACATTAACCATATCTATAAAAGGCACTGAGTAGACTGTTATTTAATTCACCATTTGGTGTTTGTCTGTGTGGTTTATTTTCCGGAGAACATACTATAAACTTTTTAACTGGTTTCTGGTGATTTAGTGACAGAAGAAAATAAGATTAAATCTCAATGAATCTATGTTATAAAGATTTAAAAAATACTGTGTTTGAAACTATTCAGCTAATTAATCTTTTTAAAAAGGTACAAAGTCGTTATGAACAGATTAAAAAGAATGTGGTCCTCAATCATAAGAGTTATATAAGTCTACCAGGCAAGTCAAGAAGAATGATAAAAAGCTCTGGCTGATGTAGCTCAGTGGATTGAGTGCTGGCCTGCAAACCAACCAGTCGTTGGTCTGATTCCCAGTCAGAACACATGCCTGGGTTGCAGGCTAGGTCCCCAGTAGAGGGTATGCGAGAGGCAACCACACATTGATGTTTCTCTCCCTCTCATTCTCCTTCCTTTCCCCTCTCTCTAAAAATAAATAAATAAAACCTTTAAAAAAAAGAAGTATGATAAAACAACATAATAGACTCTACCAAAATACAAATTATTTGGCAAACATTATAACTTATTTTTTTAAAGTAAAAATTCAGGATTTAACGTTGGAAAATAATGACTAAAATACCTGTTAATAAAGAATGAGATCAGATAACCTTTGGCCATAATGTTTTTGTATTTAAATATAGTATCTAAACAGGATAATTACATGCTCCTAAATTGGAGTTCCAAGTGTGTTACCTAAAAGGCAAAAAGGTTTTCCAGCTGATACTAGAGAGGTGAAAAATACAGATTATTACAGAATTTGATTGTATTAATTAACATTGTATCTCCAGTGAAAGTTTACCTGGAATTTTAAAGACAAAGTGATCAGCTACTACTCGGCAGGTTCTGCCTTTATGGATAAAAATTTTAGCCATGAAGTAGTAAAAATCTATGGGAATAGCTCCATGATAAAAAATTATAAGTGCTGGTCCTTCTGGTATTTTTTCCATCCCATGAACTTCATAGCCTGTTAGGAAGACAAAATACAAACACTTAAAATATATTTATTAATTATTTAAACTAAAGGATGGTTACCAACTCAGAAACTCAGTCTTTTCTCACAAAAGGACATGAGACTTCTGCTTTCCCTTCCTTCCCTTCTTGAACAAATCCATCCTACAGGCATTAAGTGGGCCAGGGTGAAGCAAGTCCCTGTGTGTAGGGGAGACCTAGAGTGAGTGTTGGAGTCCAGACAGGGTGAGGACAACATCCACACAGGGTGGCCCAGAGTGAGGAGTCAAAGTCCAAGTACAGTTGTGAGAGCACCCACACAGGCAAAGAGCCCGAACAGGCTTCTGGTGCCTGAGTGGGAGAAGGAGAGGAGCCAAGAGTGGGCAAACATGGGGGTCAGATCCCGAGTGAAGTTAGAATGGCATCCAGACTCACAAGTGGCCTGGTTCAGGGTGTGACGGTCTGAGGGGAAAAGATGGTGTCCATGAGTGGTAGAGGATGGTGGCAGTAATGGGAGATTGGTTACATACAAGGGAAATTGACCAAATATGTCCACATGTTAAGGAAAATGTGAGCCAGGATTCTCACTGTTGGAGAAAGTGGTTGCAAATACAGGATTAAATATGAATAAATTCAGTAGTAAGAAAACTTCACCTGCACCCTAAGAATGAGAAAAGGCAGCATGTCAGAAAACTGAGGTCACTTTCTTAATCAGGTGAACTGAGCTCCAAATGGTGACAAGCCCATTTAACGAGATTTAAAACAAAAATAAAAACAAAAACAAACTGAGTATGGGAAGAAGTGGCAGAAGTGGGTATGACAAATACAACTGGAATATTAACAAATACTTAAAGGCCAGCTGTGGGCGAGCATTAAGTGTACATTCCCTGGGCACACAAGATATAAACAAGGGCCCACACTCAGTGGCATTCCTCCACAGGCCTCAATGGGTCCTCTCAAAAAAGGTTAGGGCTGGCCCTGGCTGGCCGTAGCTCAGTGGATTGAGCGCGGGCTGTGAGCCAAAGTGTCACAGGTTCGATTCCCAGTCAGGGAATACATGCCTGGGTTGCAGGCCATGACCCCCAGCAACCGCACATTGATGTTTCTCTCTCTTTCTCCCTCCCTTCCCTCTCTAAAAAATAAATAAAATCTTAAAAAGATCTTCATTTCCCTCCTCCTTTCTCCTGCCTCACCCCACCATCCTAGTCTCAGGCAAAAATTCACTATGACTAGGGGAGGGTAGAAGCCAAAGCATCTGCCACTGGGAGGTATAGAGTAGGCCCAGAGTCCTGAAATGACATAAAGCAGAGAAGTGCTACCACTGGAATGAGGGGCAGGAAAACTTGCTACCAACCTCAAACCCCTACCTACAAAAGACAAGGTTTACTTGCCACAGAAGAGCGAAAGGAACACTGAGAAAGCATCACACTTGACACCCAGACATACAAGGCCTGTGGAAGATTTTGGCTACAACAGAAATATCAAGGAGTGCCCCCACCATGCCCATCCCCACCACACACCTCACATGGAGTTCTAAACAAAGGCAACCTTTTCCTGAGGAAGAAGCTGGAACATGAAGAGAGAGCCCTTCTGTGTAGAAGAGGCATATAGGATTGAGGGGCAGCAGGAGCATCAAGAAAAACCCTCTGGCACTTTAGGCTCCATATATGCACAAGGTAGCAACAGCAGGAGTTTGAAGTCTGTGCTGAACTGAAGGAAACTATACTTACAACAAAACCCAACCCCAGTTTAACTACTGAGTAGATGTAACACCCAACCCCACTCATTAATGGCCTAACAGAAGAAAGGATAATTTTCAGTGATAAATATTTATTATTATCTCATTCACAACTGTTATTTGTTTATCTATTTATTTTTACAAACAATGCCCAGAATTCATTTAAAAAATTGCAGAACATGGCCCTGGCCAGTGTGGCTCAGTTGGTTGGAGTATTGTCCCGGTCAGCAAAAGGTTGCAGGTTCAACCCCCAGTCAGGACACATACCTAGGTTGTGGGTTCAATCCCCAGTTAGGGTATATGCCAACCAATCAATGTTTCTGTCTCACATCAATGTTCCTCCCTCCCTGTTTCTGTCTCTGTCTCTCTCTCCCTCCATCCCTTCTTCTCTAAAATCAATAAATATATCCTCAGGGGAAAAGTAAAAAAAAATTGTGGTACATAGAAAATAATAAGAAAAAAATCCATTGTCAGGAGATTGTTTAATCAAGAGAACCAAGCTCAAATGTTTAAATTATCAGACAGTAACTTTAAAATGATTATGGTTAATTTCTTAAGGGATCCAGTGGAAAAAGAGGACATGTAACTGGATTCGAAATTTCAGCATATAGAAGGAAAATATATAAAAACAATGAGTCAAATAAAAAGGCTACATACTTAAATGAGATCTAAAGATTAGATGGTAGTAATATATCAATGTTAATTTTCTGATTTTAATGGTTTTATTGGTATTAAATAGATATCTTTATTTATAGAAAACATACGCTAAAAGTGTTAAAGAGAGGGCAGTGTAGGCACTTAATAGTCAAATAATTAAAGAAAATAAGTTTTTGTACAATACTTGTGATATTAATCTTTTTAAAGTGTATGAATAAAAAATTACCTTTTATGGAAAAAATCATGTAAGATTAGAGAATCATAGAAGCTATAAGGTAAAAAGAACTTTCAGATTCCAAAGTAACAAACAATCATCAGAATTTAAGACTATTTTTGGTTGAATCAAAGTTATCCAAGGAATCAAACATCTCTGAAGCATCAAGCCCACTTTATTGAATCTGCTAGCTTCTAAAAAACAATCTGGACCTTCCTGTGTACGTCTGATATACAGTAGTTGCAAAGGAGTACAGGATTCTACTCATTACAAGCAGGTTGTGAAAGGTATAAAGAAATGAGGAGGTAAAGGGGAGTGGGTGACAAGAGCCAGGGTAAGAAACATCAAATAAATTAAAACTTCCCTATGAGATAACACAACTAGAGTAAAATTTAAGAGTCATAAAATAATTCATTGATGAAAGTAGGAACACTTTTAAGAGTGACCCAATGCAAAATAAAACACCATTAAAATATTATATACATGTGAATAACTTAATAATGCTGTAAATTTTTTACATGTTTATTTCATTCACGAATTACTCTTTAGAAATCCCCCACTATTTTATTCTTGAAAAACAAAAATTAGGTTATTGAATCTAACTACTACATTAGCAGGGGAAAACTGTGATCAAAGATTTGAACTGGATGTGTAGAAAACATCTCTCTAGTAATACAGATAAAATTAGAGGCCCATGCCATTCTTTTCTTCCTGCTACACTGTAAACCCTATTCCAAGTCACTATTAACAGGAACAAGGGTTTCATCAAGGGAAGCAAATGACAGAATAAAAAGGATGGTGGGTAGGAAGAGGGGAATTAGGCTTTCTTTTAACTTAACCTCAGTTCAAGGTTGGCTTCCTACGCAGTACCTTTTTTACTCCTCTGCCAGCTGAAGAGATTAATCTGCCTACTGTCCTCCATACTGCTACCAAACACCAACACATTTTTTATAGCAATCCTGTGCTGTTGGTGGACTGTGGGGAATAGAAAAGATTTAAGGGAGCTCCACCTGTGTTTCAGAGGAAACTACTCTTGAGAATTTTATCACAGGAGTTGGGAACGGAAATTCCAAGGAGCAGGTGTACTGTGATCATGGCTCTAGTCATAAAAACTGCTTTTCCTCCCCATCTCACCAGTCAGGCACAGCCTTAGCTGGTCCTGGCAAAATAACAAAAACAAAACAAACAAACAAACAAACACAAAAACAAACACTGAACAACCAATGAGTCAATAAGGAAATCGAAAGAGAAATAAAAAGAAATACTTTGAGACAAATGAAAATGGAAATGCAACACACTAAAACGTAACAGGATGCAGCAAAAGCAGTTCTAAGAAGGAAGTTCATAGCAATAAATGCCTACCTCAAAAAAACAAGAAAAATTTCAAAAAAACAGCCTAACTTTATACCTCAAGGAACTATAGACTGATTACTAGTAAGGAGACAGAACCTATAATAAATACCTTCCAACAAACAAAAGTCCAGGACCAGATGGCTTCACTGATGAATTCTACCAAACATTCAAAGAATTAATACCAATTCTTTCTAAACATTTCCAAGAAAGAAGAGGAGGAAACACTTCAAAATTTGTTTTCTGAGGCAGACTTTACCCTGATACCAAAATCAAGAAAGAACACCATAAGAAAATTACAAGCCAATATCCTGAGAAACAAATGAAAAAAATCCTCAACAAAATATTAGCAAACCAAATTCAACAATAAACACCATAATCAAGTGGGATTTATTCCAGATAAGCAAGGATGGTTCAATATTCACAGATCAATCAACGTGTTAAATTACATTACCAAAATGAAGAATATAGTCATATGATCATCTCAAGAGATGCTGAAAAAGATTTGACAAACTGTAACATCCACTTATGACAAAAACTCTCAAGAAAGGGGGGATGGACGGAATGTACCTCAACATAATGAAGACCATGCATGACAAGTCCATAGCTAACACACTCAATGGTAAAACACTGAAAGCTCTTCCTCTAAGATCAGAAACAAAACAAGAATGCCCATTCTCACCACTTTTATTCAATATAATTTTGGAAGTCCTAGCCAGAGCAACAAAAGGTAAGGAAAAGAAATAAAAGATGTCCAAATTGTAAAGAAAGGAGTAAAACTGTCACTATTTGCAGATTACATGGATATTATATATAAAAACCCTAAAAGACTTCACCAAAAACAAAACAAAACAAAAAAAAAAACACCCCACAACAAAACCTGTTGAAACTAATCAATTTGGTAAAGCTGAAGGCTAAAAAAATCAATATATTATATAAATATCTCTTGTATTTCTATATATTAGTAACAAACTAACAGAAAAAGAAATTAAGGAAAAATCCCACTTACAATTGCATCAAAAAGAATAAAATACCTAGGAATAAATTTAACCAAGGA